TTCCCAGTTACAGAAATTAAGCTCTCAGGTCTATAATTTCCAGGCAAGGATTTTGAACCCTTTTTAAATATAGGAACAACATCTGCCTTCCTCCAATCCTCTGGTACAACACCTGAAACAAAAGAATCTTGAAAAATTAAATACAAAGGTTCACTTATTTCCCCATCTAGCTCCTTAAGTACTCGTGGGTGAATACCGTCAGGCCCCGGAGCTTTATTTACACAAATTTTCTTTAATAGCTGTAGCACCTTGTCTCGAGTTATCCAATCACAAGTTATTTGCAAGTTTTTTGCAGCAATCATTTGCATATCTCTTGCCATAGGATCCTCATTAATATATACTGAAGAAAAATAGTTATTTAAAATTTCTGCTTTTTCCTGGTCTTCATTAGCTAATAAACCCAACTCTGTTTCCAGTGTACCTACACTTTCATTTTTGTTTTTTTAGAATTGATGTACTTGAAAAAATTTGGGGGGTTGGTTTTGCATTATTTAGCTATCAATGTCTCATTTTCTAGTTTAGCCACTTTAATTGCCTTTTTGCAAGCGTTATTGGCTTCCTTATATCTTAAATAGGATGCCTCTGATTTGTCTGATTTAAATGCTTTAAATGCCCTTTTCTTATTTTTAATCTCTTGTTTTACTTCTCTACTAAGCCACATTGGTTTTAATTTGTTTCTTTTATATTTATTACCCAATGGTACATATTGAGAAATGTATCTTTCTAATATTTGTTTGAATAGTTTCCATTTATCCTCAGTGTTTTTATCACTAAGGAGTTTATGTCAGTCGATATGTTGTAGAGCTGTCCTAATCTTATTAAAATTGGCTTTTTTAAAATTATATGTTTTAGTATACCTCACTTGCTTTTGCTTTTTTGAGTTTATTTTAAAATTTACCATATTGTGATGACTATTTCCCAAATGCTCCCCTACTTGAATGTTGGTTAAAAGATCAACATTGTGGGGGGGCGTGGCCAACTGCAGAGCAACCTGGCTTCTTAGGAAATTGCTCTGGCACCCGGGCTCTCAGAATCCGACAACATCGACTCTCAGGGCACTAAAAAACACACTAAAACGCATGATGTCAAACCCCAAAGGGAAGAAGAACGCACAGAAAAATGAAAAACTGAATTTCTTTACCCACAAAACCGCGAGCAGCTCTGAAGTTGATCGTGGCCCAAATCAAGATGGCGCCGACGACCAAACAGCGGGAAACATCACAAACACAGGCCCATCACATGAAAGCCAGGAAAACCTGACCAAATCAGGCGATGAACAACATGGCTGACAAACTCATAAAAACATGGCAATCCTCCATAGGACAACTCAGCAAGGAGATCCAAGACATTGGCAGCAGAACCACACACGTGGAAAACAAACTGAGCGAATATGCTACAGCACATAACGACATGGCTGACCATGTGTCGACATGGAACATAAAATAGCAACCATGGAAGCACGCATGGCGGATGCCGAAGATCGCTCACGGAGGAATAACCTCAGATTGAGAGGAGTCCCAGAGAGCATCTTGCCGAATGAGCTACAGGCCTATGTCCAGGGCCTCCTGCGGGCATACGCTCCGGACATACGCACAGAGAAGCTCCTAGTGGACAGGGTACACAGGGTGCCCAAGCCACGCAACCTACCTGATTCCATCACCCGGGACGTCCTGCTGAGAGCACATTACTTTCATATAAAGGAAGCGGTTTTGCGAGCCAGTAGGAACTCCACAGAACCGCATGGGACTGATACTGGCTGACTTATCCGCGGCAACCCTCAAATGCAGAAGGGACTTTCACCCGGTGACAGAGGAGCTGCGCTGCGCTTGAATTAGATACCGCTGGGGATACCCCACCAAGCTATTAATCACGAAAAACGGCAAGCTCAAAATTATCTACACACCGGACAAAGGCACCCGGACCCTGAGAGAATGGGGGCTCACAACAGATCCCCCCCCTGAAACCCAGACAAGCCCAACTAAGCGACTGATACCAGAATGGCGCCAAGCCAAATCCCAGTGACTTGCTCGGTGAACTCGGCTGACAAAGCCAAAACCAGGGACACGTGAGATATTCACATATACTAATATCATGCTCATAGTTCTTGTTTCAGTTCAAAACGAGGTTAATTGCTTTGATTAGCATATACTATGTTTAAATAGCCAAATAACAATACACACAATAGGATAGTTGCTGGCAGGGGGAGTACCCCTCACATATGATACTCATGGAGTACTCCGGGAAACAGAGAGGGCCCGTATCATATGTGTACAGGTTGAAAGAGGGGACCCCAGAGAGCTAGGGGTAATCATGATGTCTATTGTAAACTGTAATAGCTGATGTTGTGCATATATGATGACTGTAACCTAAGGACGCAGATTATTATGCAGGGTGACTGCTTCTATGAATGAGACGCTATCTGTAAACCACATCGCACAAACACATACTGCATGATCAAGCAGGCCGAGTGTACTGCACTCATTCCCCCCCAATACACTACGGAAATCAAAGGAAGTGCACCCACAACCTAGGCCATAAGCACCGCAAAATACTCTCTAAGGTAGCACACAGTGAGATCGGGGACATAACATGGTCAGACCATGCCCCAACCATGGCAGAGCTGACTGAGGACTTCCAACATAGAGGGAGACCGCCATGGCGGCTGAATGACTCACTTTTAGGTGATCACACATTCTCTACAACACTATCAGAAGCACTGCAATCATGCTTCCATGATAACAATACCCCACATGTACAACCGACCACTGTGTGGCAGGCACATAAGGTGGTCATTAGAGGAGTCCTCAGCCGAGCCTCCTACCTCAAAAAAAAAGTACAAAGAGAATACCTACACCTGCTGCGCACCCTAAGAAATACGACAGCAGCAAATATAGTAAAACCCTCACCACAAGTAGCCCAGGTAATAAAAGACACCACATATTACAAAAACTGAAACAGAAAACATACTCACAAGGCATCAAAGCAGGAAAGCACCTAGAAACATTGTTACGCCAAAGACAATGCAGTGCAAAAATCCCATACCTCCTCACACCCAAAGGCTCTAAAATACATAACCCACAGGACATTAATGACACCATGGCAAACTACTACCACACACTATACAATCTCAAAGATGAACCAAACCTACACCAACCCACACACCAGGAAATCCAAAGCTTCCTCCAATTGTCCTCACTGCCAACACTGACAGAGCAACAGAAAACCATATTGCAAGACCCAGTAACGCATGAGGAAATACAACAAGCCATACACTCACTCCCCCATGGCAAATCACCAGGACCTGACAGATTCACAAACTACTACTACAAAACGTTGACCACAATCCTCACCCCACATCTAGAAAAAGTATTTAACCATATTCTCATGACGGGCCAAATACCCCAAGATATGCTCATGGCACACGTAGCCACTGTACGAAACCAGGCAAACCCCCTACGAAATGCCAAAACCTTAGACCAATTACCCTCCTTAACACGGACATCAAACTGCTAGCAAAAATTTTCTCCAACAGACTAACGAACATTATTCCAACCCTAATACATAAGGACCAGGTGGGTTTCGTCAGTGGCAGGCAGGGAGCGGACGGGCAGGGCCGGTGCAAAGAATTTTGGGTACATAGGCGAAGATGCATTTTTCCGCCCCCCCAAAAACATCTTCACCCATGTGTCTCTTAACCTCTCTTTTGTGTTTCTTATCCCGTCTTTTAAATATCTGACTCCCTTTAGTGTATTTTATCTCCTATTTTTGCCTTTGTGTGTCTCCTATCTCTCCTCTTTGTATGACTCTTACATCCTCCCACATTTTGTGTCTTACTCCTCCCAGCCCCTTTGTGTGACTCCTTTTCTCCCAGCCCATTTGTGTCTTTTATTCTTCCCAGCTCCTTTGTGTGTGTCTCTTTCCTTCTCAAGCCCCGCTGTGTGTTTCTTTCACATCCAGCCCCTCTCCCCATCCCTTAATGGTCCCCTCCCTTCTCTGACCCTTACTGTTCCTTTCCCTTCCCCCCTCCTTTCCCTGTCCCTTAGTGTTCCTCTCCCCTCCCCCATCTGTTCCCTGTTGCTTAGTGATCCTCTTCCCCCCTCCCTCCTTTTCCTGTACCTTAGTGTGTCACATACACACACACACACACTCTCTCCCCTCCTCTTCCTGTCCCGTAGTGCACCACCCACCCCCATAGTGGTCCCCTCCCCTTCCTGGTGTGCCTCCTACCTTTTTTTGTAGCGTGGCTGAGCGGAGCGAATCCCGGTACAGTGAGCTTTTCCTGTAAGTTCTACCAGGTACAGGAAACAGAAGTTACTGTACCACGGTACACTCCGCTTGGCCACGCTACAGTCAGGGGTGTATAAACACTGACAGTCACACACACTCAATGACAAACACACAGACATCTCTGACAACCAAACTCACTTATCTGACACACTCATTCATTGACAGACACTCACACGCACACTGACAGACACACAAACACTGACAGACTCATTGAAAAACACACACTGACACAAACTCACAGACACACATGCACACACGCACATACTGACAGACACACTCACTCACACACACTGATAGACACACATACTCACACACACACTGACAGAACCACACACACACAAAAACTCACAGACACACATACTCACACACACACTGACAGACACACATACTCACATACACACACACTGACAGACACACTCATTCACACACTGACAGACACACATACTCACATACACACACACACACACACAGACACACACACACACACACACACACACACACACACACACACACACACACACACACACACACACTGACAGACACACACACACGCTGACAGACACACATACACATACACACACACTGACAGACACACTGACAGACACACTCACTCACACACTCACTCACACACTGACAGACACACATACACCACATACACACACACACACTGACACACTCTCTCACACTGACAGACACATACTCACATACACACACACACACACACTGACACATTCTCACACACACACTGACACATTCTCACACACACACTGACACATTCTCACACACACACTGACACATTCTCACACACACACTGACACATTCTCACACACACACTGACACATTCTCACACACACACTGACACATTCTCACACACACACTGACACACACTCACACACACACACACACACACACACACACACACACACACACACACACACACACACACACACACACACACACACACACACTGACAGACACACTCACTCACACACTGACAGACACACATACTCACACACTGACAGACACACATACTCACATGCACACACACACTGACAGACACACTCACACACACACATACACACACTGACAGACATACATACTCACACACACACTGACAGACACACATTCTCACACACACACTGACAGACACACATACTCACACACACACATACTCACACACACACACACTCACAGTAATTAATAATCTAAATTAAATTAAAATTTCCCACCCAGCCTCCCTACCTGGAGAGCTGGCGTGGGTCTCTCATTGGTGGTCCAGTGGGGCTGCTGGGAGGCGTGCGGCTGAATTGGATTCTGAGGTGGCGAGGGAGCTCTGATCTCTCTGATCTGCTCCCTCGCAGGCTGTTTACTGATGACGTCATATTCCGGCTCCCGCGGCATCAGTAAACCGCCTGCGGGGGAGCAGATCAGAGAGATCAGAGCTCCCTCGCCACCTTGGAATCCAATTCAGCCGCACGCCGCGCCGGGGATCCAGGAGGTGACCTGGCAGGAAGGAGCACTTCCCTCCTGCCAGTCACTGGAATTTTGCGCCCCCAGCGCCTTATGGACGCGCCGGCCCTGCGGACGGGACCCGAAAAGTTTTAGACCTGTTGCAAGGGGGACGGGGGGGGGGAGACCCAGTGTGTCATGTTATCACTTGACGCTGAAAAAACCTTGGACAGACTGCACTGGCCCTTCCTCCAGGCAGTCCTGCTCAAATATGGATTCCCGGACGCCTTCTTAAGATTGGTGGGAGCGCTGTACTCCAAACCGACAGCGAAAGTCACAAACGGGGGATTCAGCTCCAAACAATTCAAAATAACCAACGGGTCAAGACAGGGTTGCCCACTATCACCTCTCCTTTACATTTTATCCCTAGAACCACTCACACAACTCATTAGGGACAATCCGGGCATACATGGCATCACAAGACAAGGCAAGGAACATAAACTCACACTATTTGCAGATGACGTCCTCTTAACACTGGAACAGCCACATATATCCCTACCCAACCTTCAATATAGCAAATGCGCCCACTATAAACTCAATGTTAATAAAACTCAAGCAATGGGTATAAACATCCCAGCTGAGGATATGCGCAGGCTGAGCGCCTCTTTCAAATACGATTGGCGCAATGACCACCTCAAATTCTTAGGAATCAATATCACCCCAACCTCAGCAAACCTCTACAAAACAAACTACCAAAAAACACTGACCGAAATAAAAAACTTACTGCTAGGATGGAAAGGTAAATTCATATCCTGGTCAGGAAGAATAGCCGCAGTCAAGATGATAGTCATACCAAAACTGCAATACCTATTTAGAACATTACCCATAAAACTACCACCCAAATTCCTACAAGACGCGCAGCAAACACTGCTAAACTTCATCTGGGACAAACATAAAGCACGAGTGGCGAAGAGCACGCTATACATGCCACGCAAAAAAGGGGGTATGGGAGTACCCAATCTAGACAGCTATTACAGAGCAGCTATTTTGGGTCCCTTGTTAGCGGCGTGTCACCGGGACAACCCAACTCAATGGATGGCACTGGAGAAACAACATACCCATTACTATACTGGCATGGCTCCCTCGACACAGCAGGCCAGCAACAAACGAACTGCTCCCAACCACAGCTCTAACTTTGTCCATATGGGACAAATACTGCCGCAAACTGGGCTGGTCGGGAAAAATATTGCCTGCCACCCCTATAAAAGCATTACATTATATGATACCAAATTTTAATTACACTCTGTGGCACCGACATGGGGTAACACACCTACACCAACTACTGGAGGAACATACACTTAGAAGCTTCACGGACCTAACAACTTCTTACCACTTGACCCCAATGGCATCATTCTCTTATATGCAATTACACTCATGGTTCAGCAAGCAAACCTTAAATAGGATGGATAATGTTCAAGGGCAACAGCTGACGGTGGTAGAGAAAATTTGCTCGCGCCTATTAACCCCCGAAAAATCCGAACTATACCAAACGATGCACACTCAAAAAGACCACACAAAACTATCATTCATTGCAGCATGGGAGAAGGAATTCACATATACTCTCGATGCGCGGCAATGGAATAAAATTCTACTTGCACATAACTCACTCTCCAAATGCGCCTCCCACATGGAACTATCCCGAAAAATCCTATGCCAGTGGTACTTGGTGCCTACACGTATAAAAGCAACATACCCACAAGCCTCCGACAAACTACTGGAACAACATAACTACCATAATACAAGACAGCTCAAAAATGCTTTTACCTCGCAAGCCAGAAACATACCTTCTCCAGCTTTTCCCAAAGGGAATGCAGGGTAGCCAGAAATACTTAACTTACCACATACTTATGGCTGCACTAACTGTCATTAGTAGACACTGGAAATCCGCTATCCCGCCCACAATAACAGAATGTATACAAACGATAGAAACAACTAAGCTCTATGAACAGGCAACCAGACGATCAAGTCAATCCCAAAAAATTTGGTCACAAGCCTCGGAAACCTGGCAGTCGTACATAAGGCGTAACACTGTGCCCTCAAACTAAGAGGCTGTGGCAAAAACCTACGGACCGACAGCTGTGCCCTTTTAGACAATGAAAATTGTAAATGATAACAAAATTGTAAATAATGATAATAACGTGGTGAATAAAAATAACATATAGTTGAAAGAACAAATGCTCAATAGAAGCAACCATAAGAAGTCGAAAGCCTGGGAGAGCCCTACCCCCTTCTATCTACACCTCACCCCCTCCCTGTGCCCCCACCCCCCTAACAGACTAACGAACAGTCTCCAACAGACTAACGAACATTATTCCAACCCTAATACATGAGGACCAGGTGGGTTTCGTCAGTGGCAGGCAGGGAGCGGACGGGACCCGAAAAGTTTTAGACCTTCTCCACCGTTCCCCCCTCTTCCAGTGGTACAGGAAACACCAATACTCTGCACTTTCTACCAAAGACAAAACCAGGTGAATGTGGACCCCGATAGTCGAACGTGAGTCCTTCCCACGGTAGAAAACTGACCAAACCACTAGACAAACCTAGAGAAACACAAAGCCTGTACACAAAAAAGTGGAATATAAAAATATTACATAGTTACATAGTTACAAAGCTGAAAAGAGACTTGCGTCCATCAAGTTCAGCCTTCCTCACATTTGTTTTTTGCTGTTGATCCAAAAGAAGGCAAAAAAACCCAGTTTGAAGCACAATTTTGCAACAAGCTAGGAAAAAAATTCCTTCTTGACCCCAGAATGGCAGTCAGATTTGTCCTTGGATCAAGCAGTTATTACCCTACATTGAAAGATTATATCCTTGAATATTCTGTTTTTGCAAGTATGCATCTAGTAGCTGTTTGAACATCTGTATGGACTCTGATAAAACCACTTCTTCAGGCAGAGAATTCCACATCCTTATTGTTCTTACAGTAAAAAAACCTTTCCTTTGCCTTAGACGAAATCTTCTTTCTTCCAGTCTAAACGCATGACCTCGTGTCCTATGTAAAGTCCAGTTTGTGAATGGATTTTCACACAATGGTTTGTATTGGCCCCGAATATATTTGTATAATGTTATCATATCCCCTCTCAGGCAACGTTTTTCTAAACTAAATAGGTTTAAATTTGTTAACCTTTCTTCATAGCTGATATGTTCCATTCCTTTTATTAATTTTGTAGCCTCTGCACTTTTTCTAGTTTTCTAATATCCTTCTTTAGAACAGGTGCCCAAAATTGCACAGCATATCTGTCATGGGGTCTTACCAGTGATTTATAAAGAGGCAAAATGATATTCTTGTCCCAGAATGAATGCTCTCCTTTTTCATGCACATGATTAATATCTTTACTGGCCTTGGCCATCAAGCGATTGACATTGCACATTGTTGCATAGTTTGTTGTCTATAACAATTCCCAAGTCCTTTTCATGCTGTCATCCCCAATTCTCTTCCACAAGGGTGTATACGTTGTTGTGTATTTTATCAAGTGCATAACTTTGCATTTTTCAACATTACATTTCATCTGCCATTTGAGTGCCCAGTCCCCTAGTCTATCTAAATCCCTCTGCAGCAAAGTAATATCTTGCTCACATTGTATTGTTTTACAAAGTTTGGTGTCATCTGAAAACACTGAAACATGACTTTCAATGCAGTCCTCAAGATCATTTATAAACATGTTAAATAGAAGGGGTCCCAGAACAGACCCCTGAGGGACACCACTTGCCACCTCTGTCCAGCTTGAAAATTTACCATTAATGACAACTCTTTTGTGTTTTAAGCCAATGTTCTACCCAAGAACAAGCATTTTCATCTAGACCGATTTCCTTGAGTTTGAACACCAATCTATTGTGTGGAACTGTATCAAATGCCTTGGCAAAATCCAAATAGATCACATCCACGGCAACACCCTGATCTATACTTCTACTTACTTCTTCGTAGAACGCAATCAAGTTAGTTTGACATGACCTGTGCTTCATAAAACCATGCTGATTTTTGCTGATAACCATGTTCTTCTCAAGGAATTCTTGAATATTATCCCTTAATAACCTTTCAAATATTTTACCAGCCACAGAAGTTAAGCTCACAGGTCTATAATTTCCAGGCAAGGATTTTGAACCCTTTTTGAATATAGGAACCACATCTGCCTTCCTCCAATCCTCCGGAACACTTCCTGAAAGAAAAGAATCTTGAAAGATTAAAAACAGAGGTTCACTTATTTCTGCACTTAGTTCCTTAAGTACATGTGGATGGATACCGTCAGGCCCTGGAGCTTTGTTTATATTAACTTTCTTTAGTTGCTGCAGCACCTTGTCTTGAGTTAACCAATTACAATTATTCTGCAAGTTTTTAGTAGCAATCATTTGCACATCTATTGCCATGGGTTCTTCCTTAATATATACGGAGGAGAAATAGTTATTTAAAATTCCTGCCTTTTCCTGGTCTTCATTAATTAACACCCCCGTTTCAGTTTTT